CAACATGCCAAGTTTTAAGAAATTCTATATTTAAACAGTTTTCATTTTGTCTATATGCCTGTATGAAAATTCCCGAAAACGTCTCTTATTTAATGTCAAATGCTGACGAAAAGAAAATTCTCTCTATAATTCATTTTAGGATTGTTTTCAACATTTATGATGCAAGCGAAACTGACATCGTACTACACATATCATTTCGGAAAGACTTTAACAAGATTCAGCTCAATTCGGAAGTCCAAGGCAAATTTATGCAGAATAAAAACGCTGAGGGCGTGGCAATTACATCAGGCAGTGTTGCCAAATTAACTGTGGAAGTTCATCAAGATGCATTCAAGGTTCGTAAGTTGCTCTTTCTTGCACGCGCTCTGATCTGTTCATTTAAATGATTATATGAATGAATGTACATAATTATTTAACAAGCTTTTTTGTTAATCAACACTTGGTATAATATATCCATGAGGTTATGCATTTGCTACCACTATTACTATTTTACTGTAATATTTCTATATGAAAGAGATTTCAAAGCTGGCCTTTCAAAAGTCTTTTCGAAATGTGTAACTCGGTTCTAATAATGTGTTTTTTTTTATCAAAGTAAAAAATTATAATTGGATACCCTTTACCTTTGTTTCTTGGCGGAGTTCACATATAGATACAAGATGGAAATGTTTATTTGTGTCTCTTTTATACAAACAAATACATGTACAATTTAACCCTCCATTTTTCATTATCTTACACCTTGCAAACAAAAGACGTTAAACAAACGTTGTACTGACGTTAGATCACGACGTTGGATCAACGTCGCCAGAAGGTTGTACTTGCAGATAATCGACTAACATATTCTGTTTTGTTTATATTTTAGGTGTATGTTGACGGAAAAGAGAAATACCATTATTCTGCAGTCTTGAGCCCTGATTTGTCACGAAATATACAGTTCAGACCTTCATTGGGCTCCAATTGTTTGCTAGAGAAAATATGTTTTTAAAGACCTGTAACAGTTCATTTCAAGTGAAAATCTACAAACTGATATTTTGTTAAAGAATTACTGAAGATGGCATATCAAAGACAAAATTGAAATTCCTATTGATACCATTCACATAACTATGGTATAATGTTAACAATGAAAAGAATATACATGTAAAGGTAAGGCGTAACATTGAATCATATTTCAATTTCATGTACATGTCTAAATGCAGTTAAAATCAGCCTATTTATTATACCTCAATATATCCTTCAAAGTAAAACTCCCAAAGGCCTATTATGTTTTCTGATTGAATATCAACCTCCTAGGATATATTCCCCGGCGAATATTTCATAAATCGCCATTGGGCACATAACTCTTGCATAACTCAATATTATCGTACATTATAGCCTCTTTAGGATTAGCATCACCTGTAAAAAATGATGTGTCTTTTTATTTCCTTGACTGCGTACTTTATAAATATTGTAGTTGTAGGTCTTAGGGTATAATAAAATAAATAACACATGCCTGTCGGGGTGACATTAACTGGTATATTACCAAGTTCTCGGGTTGACAATATCCTCTTTCACCCCGACAGACATGTGGTATTTATATAACGTCTTATACCATTATTCTTAATATAAGAACATTTTTGTATAGGTTAATTTTTATAAGAAAGAATTAACACAATTAAGACGGTCAAGAACAGTGCAACACTTACCAATTTAGTGGTTAAAATCATGTTTTATAAAACTGTCGATTTACTAGGACTGATTGAATTTAGCCGATTAAACAAAGTAAATTTGTTATATTCACTTGAAATACTGCAATCCTATTGGGCAAAATAATTTCATATACTAATTTTGTTTTGATTGTCAGGTACTATGTGGCCCCGTATGTTATCTTAGTATTATTATACTAAGTAGTTTATCTCTCATACAAATAATTAATTAAAACAAAAATGTTTTGAAGAAAACTGCTTGTTCTATATACCCATTCATAATAAACATTTTAACCATTATATTTAAAAGATCGTGGTTAACCGGCGCAGAACTTACACGGTAATACCAATGTCATTGAAATAGATGTTCTTTAAGAAGGACCATAGTGAAACCGAATTTGCAATTGCCTTTTCCTGCATTGATGTCGAGGTCATTGCTCGATCTCTCAACTTCTCAACTACATGCACATAGGTCACTGCTCTTAAAAGACAAAACGCTATGTGCTATGATATTTCCGCCATCACTACATTTTGTAGATTTTACTATCCTTAATAAAAACTACTTGCTAGGATAATATGACTTTATTCACGTCCTTCCATACTTTTTGGCCCTTGAAACTGTGAAAAATTACACGTAAAAGATAAGGATTACGCACAGAATTTCGATCATTGCTCGTTTTAATAATCGTTGATTTGATCTTTCATCATATAAAATTTATGAATGTTTGTAACAATCAAAATTTTCTGGTGGCTACCGTTTAAACACCATTTGTCTGATTCCGCTGTAGATTGGTCCTCGCCATAGTTTTTCTTTACAACAATAAAAGTCACAAAGCTATAACGCAAGCAAAATGTCCAGGAGATTTCCTCGTGGCATGGTCTGATTTGGACCGGCGATTATAGTTCTTTCTGTATATAAAATGTATTACTTATCGCAAAAAAAAAACCAACAACAAAATTAACGAGCCAATCGTTAAAACACCATTTGTTTGAGTGGTTGATTCCATTGACGATTCGTTTTTCCAATAGCTTTGAGGGTATTTTTTTCAGCAAAATAAGCCTTACTAACAGTAATTCCTTACGAAAGGATGATATCCGACAGATAGGAGAAGGAATGGTCATCTGTGCACATAGGTAGACAAATTTATGTTTAGATCTGCGTAATTGTTGAAATTAAAGGGGACTCATTACGACATGAAAATTCCATTACGTCGCGCTGTACATAGTCGTTTATCGTATTGTTCCAGGAATCCCACACCATGTATCTTTTTAATATACATGTATATAGACAGAGCTGATTCTTATAATGTCTTGGATATAAATAAGTTTCATCCCAATTAAAACGATGTATAAAGTTTTAATAAGCACATGACAATAAAATCAAATTTGAGTATAGACATATCACTGCCTTTTTAATCTAATTAAAAACTTTATACAAGACCTTTAGATTTTGGTTGTGTAAGCTTCACTGTGTTCCCTGAGGCTGTCACCGCCGGTTATATCGCCATAAGAACTCTCTAAAAGGCCTTTATCTTGGTTTGTGTTTGTTTAACCCATTTAAAAGTCGTATCAACATGGGTTGTTTCCATACGTTAAATTGTGGTAAGAAGCCTCTCAAACGTCTATCACATTGGTTTGCGGCAGCTTTACTGTGTTCCATGACACCGCAGATTTCATTGCAATAAAAACCCTCTAAAAAGGTCCATTTCCATGGGATTTGTTTCCTGAGGCTATCAACGCCGGGTTTAATGCAACAAGAACCCTCAAAAGGCCTATTACCTTGTTTTGTGTCAGCTTTGTGTTTCCTTAGGCTATACCGCCCGCCGGTTGTTAATTTGGTGGTCTGATTTCCAGCACAAAGCAAACACAATTACTGGTTGGAGAGATAACTCCAATACTATATCACATGTTTTGTGCAATAGCGTTATAATATTTGTGAATATTTAAAATATTGACCCACCTAAATAAAGTTCTGTTCAAAGACATAAAGTTACTATGTAGAAATTTTAATGTAAATAGAAAATGGTTCATCTTTAAGGCCATGAATGAGGTATCTAAAATATTGGCCTGGTTTTGTAAACAAGGTACGGTTATTTGACATACATATATATTAAAAAAGTACCAAATTAAAAAAAAATACAACACATTCTGCCCAGCTCCTAAAATACTTAATGATCATTTTTTATTTGTTTAAAAAACAAAGTTATAACACAAATATTTGTCAAGTGTCGCCGATGTCTATGTCTAACTATAACTGCTTACTGTTTTGTAATTACCATTAATACTGTGTCAGAGTTATCTCACTAACAAGTACTGATCCTCAAAATGTCCTTACTGTTTTGAAAATTACCATTAGTACTGTCTTCTAGTTGCCGTGAAGGAAACACGTTAAAGGCACATTATACCTCAGAAAATCTTATTTTTAATTTAAAAATGTCACAAATTCATTAATTAGTGTTCGAATAATTAATTTAGGCCATGTTAGATGTTTAACTGTTTAACGAATGCTGCGCTGAGCGTGCAGTAAAGTGCCATAGAAGTAGCAAAATGTAAACAAAGTAATATTTTGACTTCCATACAAAATACTAATTCACTATTATAATTATTCCGATTGCCAACGGAGCTATAAATTTTTGAGTGTGATTAAAATGAAAATATTTCAAGTACAATATGGATTTGATATAGACTTTTAAGAATAGGATACTGAAAACGAGGCAAGATATAATAAAGGTATATCTATATTTCTCTACAAAAGCTTGTAGTTTAGGAAAAGAAAATCATTACAACTCCTTATGTAAACAGGAATCATCTGAGTTCGAGCATTTGTTTTAAAACCTTATAAATGATATAAATCAAGTTACAAAATTAATATTGATCAAAGATACCTTATGAATCTTTTTCTTAAGATTATTCCTTTTTAGTTATAAATGGGCTTAAGTTCATGCCCTACTGAGTGGGAGATATGCTTTCTTGTTTCATTTTTTTATTCTTTTAATGCTTTCAGACAATAGATACAGTTGTAGTTTTACAATATTTAAAATGTTTATAAAAGTTTTCATTGTGATGAACTACTATTGTAAAACAATTCTGAAAGCTATTTAAAAGCTCGTGAAATCCATGTCTTTTGAAACAGTTGTTTAAATTCTAACGAACGGAAATTTGAACAATTTATACAGGAATCAACTTAAAGCAAACCATTTCATCTGCGTTTCCTTTAATCAATGCACACCCCTAACAGTTACACGGTGTATTTGAACAAGTGAATGTAAACATGTCGGGTCGCGGAACTACCCTGTACGTCATTTTATAGAAAGCGTTCACCTGTATATGTTGTACAGGTAAGTTAATGATAAACAATAAAATGTTACTTATGGAGGTGTAGTTATCATGATATGAAAAACACAATCTCGACGTGTTATTATGCACTCGTAGACATTATTTTAAAAATTGGCATATATGTGGTACCACATTGAATGCTGTGACAAAGTAAAAACTATTTCACATTAACAAAATTACGCTGTTACAGATACATAATTATATTTCTGTTATAGAAGCTTATCTGAAGAAATGAAGATTGTAAAGGAAGTATTTGTTTTATTTCTACTATACATACATGTCATTGACGGACTTGTATATGCAGGATACAATGCTGTTACCAAACAAGAGGGGATAAGTCCGCTAGATAGGTACCGATGTGCTGAAACTTACGTCGGGTTCGAGTATATTGGGCACATATTATCACCGGACGGCGTGTGTACGGCAGTCCAGTACGGATGGTCAGGCATAGTATCACCAGGCTCGGAATATTTAAAGAAAACCTGGAATTGCAATGTCTTTGACACTCCGGTAAGACATGCATTTATCTACATATCATTCATACTACTTAAGAATGAAATTGTATTTGTGAAGATGTTGTTTTAAACACGGTTCAAACTGTTTATATTTCAACATATAAAAAGAGATCTATATGATGTTATAAAACAGTTCAAAACTTCTCTGCCTTTTGTATTGCGTTTACGTATGGTTCAAGTTTCAGTTAGAGTATTTTACTGTCAGTAAGAAAAAGAGATAGAAAAACGAAATCCTGCATACTAATATTATATATACATTTGTACTTTTTCTATTACCCGTGTGGTGACAAATATATTATACAAGTTACTGACGGAAGTATAAATCCTGAATGTGATAAATATGTCACGACGCGCCAGCTGAGGGGTATATCTATGATAACAAGGTTTTACTCTCCCGTATACTTCTTTCTTCTCCTAATTATAATGAGCAACGTCACAGAGAAGGCACTTGGCATCAACACAAAAATTGGGAACTTGGCTGAGTTCCTCATTAAAGAACACCGTTGTCAAAGGTTACGATCCGGGTGATGTTCACACACTGTAACCATGGACACGTTCGCGGATTAAATCCGGGCGCTGTAATTGTTTATATAAAATAGGCATTACTCCTTCCTGACTGGGGGGGGGGGGGGTTATAATGATAATAATAATAATACTGCTGCTGCTGCGGTTTGGTGCTGCTGATGATGATAATAATGATGGTGATGATGATAATGATGATGATAATAATAATAAGAATAACAAAGGTTGCTTGTTAAGACAATATTTCATAACCTCCAAGATAACACAGATATAATGTAAAACATACCCTTAAATAAATTTAAAATTAGACATATTACAAGTAATAACTAAAGTTATTTCATTCATTTCATCATATTCAGATCCTCATGTCTCAGATAACTGTTGATTTAGGTTACCATTTACCGCCGTACAGGGAGTACTTTTGATTCAAAACTCTTTTTTTTGGGGGGGGGGGGGGAGTGAGGGCAGGGGAAGGGCTCCTTGCAAATTTCATTAAGGTAAATTATCACCATCGTGCTTCCACATTAATACTTAAATACTTTCAGGGCATGGCTAGTGACATGTCCATGTCCGTACTCTTCAGTTCAAGCTACATTTAGATCCAAAATAAGTTGGTGGACCATTATAGTCAGTCGATTTCCAGTCAGTAACAATTTATAATAATATAATTTGTTATTATCCATTAAACACAAAGCAACTTACAACTGTTTTCATTGTATGTTGGAAAAAAAACGTTTACCTACATTTATAGGTTACGCTTTAGGGTGATTCCGCTGTGTCAGCCATGTTTGTTTTCACAAAGTCTGTCCAAAGTGAAAGTAGGCCAAAATTCATATAACAACAAAGCTCACATTGTTATATGATGAGCCATTTGCAAGTACACTTCCAGTTCTATATTTTTAAAGACTATGTAAAACAAAAATAAAAAGGATAACAATAAGGAAATTTACCTTGAATGGGCTAAATTTCTGAAGACCAAAAACATTCTGTTGCAAAAATTTATGCACATTCCACGAATGGCAAAATCCTTTTTAAAGTCTGTTTTAGTGCCTACAAAAACTGTTTTTACAGAAAATACAAAAAAATTAAAAAACATAAATCTTAGGAAAGTAGTTTATCTGACCTTGAATAAAACATGTCCACTATGACATGTGTAAAAAAGTAGTACCATGAAAATAAACATCATTTACCTATTTCTTGTGTACATGACAGACAGACACACTTCACTGTTACACATAAAAAGGTTAGATTTTAAAGTTTGATTGTGTTTTCATTTTAATTGTTGTTCATAAGACTATAAATGATGATTGTTTTTTCTTGCACTACTTTTTTACAAAAAATATTGGAGACCATGTGCTTAGAAGGACATGAGATACGGATTTATTTGGAGTTTAGTTTTTAAAGATTTTTGTATTTGCTGCAAAAATAGCTTTTGTAGGCACTAAAACAGACTTTAAAAAGGATTTTGCCATTCATGAAATGTGCATAAAACTTTGCAACAGAATGATTTTGGTCTTCAGAAATTTAGCCCATTCAAGATAAATATTCTTATTGTTATCATTTTCATTTTTGTTTATAATTGTCCTTAAAATATAAACCTGGAAGTGTACTTTCAAATGGTTCATCATTTTACAATAAGAGCTTTGTTGTTATATGAATTTTGGCCTACTTTCACTTTGGACAGACTTTAGTGAAAACAAACATGGCTAAAAAAGCAGAAACACCATAAAGTGATACAAGTATAAAGTCATCGTTGCGGTGTATCTCATTTACTGTTTTTGAGGTGATACTGCTGAATCGAGAAAATTGGCATTCAAAACGAAACAAAAGTACAAATCTTATGCAAACACGTAGCTACCGTCTGCGACGTAGACAGCATTGGTATTCGTGCGTGCTCCGGTTGTTAACGATATATTCGGGCGTCATCCTTCCTTCTCATGAGGACGAACGACTCACCAAGGCGTGACGATATTGAACTTGATCTTGAAGTCCGAACTACATGTATATAGCCATTTTCACTGCTTTTTCACAGGCTGCCAGTTTTTACCCGCTCAAAACATGTGACAAAATCATGAAACAGGTCCGAAATTAGCTGATTGTATCCCCCAGTCATACTAATGAAATCACACATATATTAATAAAATGTGTGTAATCTAAGCAAGTTTATATCCAACCTGTTGTAATCAATAAATTCATCTCTGCAACCGGTTACACAGTGTGTTAATGATGGCTTTAGCTGAAAAATGGTCTATAAAACTGTAAAGTTTGAAAAATATTTAAAAATTATAAAACTTCGAAATTGTTTGAATTTTTCTGGACATTTGGCAAAATTAATATCATGTAATAACAGGGACTTTCAAATAGATTTTAAAGACCCCCGACTATGAATGCTGTTATACACGAAGTTTATATGTTTCCAGATCGCATTGTATTTTGAGAGTAACAGCAATTCGATCCACTACAGGTCACCAATACCTGGTGAAGTCGTAACTGGAACGAGCATTGAGATAGTGTTTGTACCCCAGGAGCCGTGGAACCAGTAAGCCATTCTAGTTCAGCTTTTTAGTGGAATAGTAATTCAATAACTCTTAAACTGTATAAAAGTGGCTTAAAATGCCCCTTAAGACATCATAAATGTGATAACTCAAAAACGAGAACGGTGACCCCAATTTTTTCTTCGCTAAAAAAGTTTCTGTTATCATATTCTAACAACAAGTTTTAAGAAATTCTATTTAACAGTTTTCATTTTGTCTATATGTCTATATGAAAACTCCAGAAAACGTCTCTAATTCAATGTATTGAAAAAGAAAATCAAATGCTGACGAAAAGAAAATTCTCTCTATGATTCATTTTAGGATTGTTTTCAACATTTATGATGCCAGCGAAACTGACATCGTGCTACACATATCATTTCGGAAAGACTTTGACAAGATCCAGCTCAATTCGAAAGTCTCGGGCAAATATGCGAAGAATAAAAACGCTGAGGGCGTGGAAATTACATCAGGCAGTGTTGCCAAATTAACTGTGGAAGTTCATCAAGATGCATTCAAGGTTCGTAAGTTGCTCTTTTTCTTCCTTGCACGCGCTCTGATCTGTACATTTAAAAGATTATATGAATGAATGTGCATATTTAACAAGTTTTTTTTGTTTAACAACATTTGGTATAATATATCCATGAGGTTATGCATTACTATTTTACTGTTATATTTCTTTATTAACGAGGTTTAAAAGCTGGCCTTTCAAAAGTCTTTTCGGTTTTAATAATGTTTTTTTTATCAAAGTAATAAAAAATAATTGGATACCCTTTTCCTTTGTTTCTTGGCGGAGTTCACATATAGATACAAGATGGAAATATTTATTAGTGTCTCTTTTATACAAACAAATACATGTACAATTTAACCCTCCATTTTTCATAATCTTACACCTTGCAAACAAAAGACGTTAAACCAACGTTGCACTGACGTTAGATCACGACGTTGGATCAACGTCGCCAAGAGGTTGTACTTGCAGATAATCGACTAACATATTCTGTTTTGTTTATATTTTAGGTGTATGTTGACGGAAAAGAGAAATACCATTATTCTGCAGTCTTGAGCCCTGATTTGTCACGAAATATACAGTTCAGACCTTCATTGGGCTCCAATTGTTTGCTAGAGAAAATATGTTTTAAAGACCTGTAACAGTTCATTTCAAGTGAAAATCTACAAACTGATATTTTGTTAAAGAATTACTGAAGATGGCATATCAAAGACAAAATTGAAATTCCTATTGATACCATTCACATAACTATGGTATAATGTTAACAATGAATAGTATATACATGTATAGGTAAGGCGTAACATTGAATCATATTTCAATTTCATGTAACACTTTTGTCTAAATGCAAATAAGATCAGCCTTTTTTAAACCTCAATATATCCTTAAATGTAAAACTCCCATAGGCATATTATGTTTTCTGCTTGAATATCACCCTCCTAGGATATATTCCCCGGCGAATATTTCTTATATCACCAGTGGGCACATAACTCTTGCATAACTCAATATTATCGTACATTCTAGCCTCTCTGATAGTGTCTTTAGGATTAGCATCACCTGTAAAAATGATGTGTCTATTTATTTCCTTACTGCGTATTTTATAAATATTGTAGTTGTAATTCATAGGGTATGATAAAATAAATAATACATGGCTGTCGGGGTGACATTAACTGGCATATTACCCAGTTCTCTGGTTGATAATATCCTTTTCCATCCAGACAGACATGTGTTATTTACATAATGTCTTATTAAGTACCATTATTCTTAATATAAGAACATTTTTGTATAGGTTAATTTTTTTAAGAAATCATTTACACAATTAAGACGGTCAAGAACAGTGCAACACTTACCAATTTAGTGGTAAAATCATGTTCAATAAAAGTGTCGATATACCAGACAGATTGAATTTAGCCAATTAAGCAAAGTAAATTTGTTATGTTCACTTGAAATACTCCCAATTTCCTTTTGGGGAAAAAATAATTGCCCTGTTTTTTCATTTTTATTTGTTATTTTTTTAATCACTTTTACAAATTTTAAACAAATTTTAAAAAAAAAAACTTTTTTGAAAAAAATGCTTGTTATATACATGTATACTAATTCATATTAAACATTTTAACCATTATATATTAAAAGATCGTGTCTAACCGGCACAGAACTTAAACGGTAAGACCAAATTTGAAAAAATATAGAAAGGAAAAGGGCCCCAGTTTAAACCGAATATTCTCTGTTTGAATCGGGGAATCCCTTTTCTCGAAACTCTAACTACTCAAAATACTCAACTAAATGTACAACAAACCAATCGTTAAAACCCTTTGATTCCCTTTAGGAAATTTGCTTTTTTTATTCTTTTCAGCAAATACCCAAAACCTCAATTCCCCACTTTTAAAGGTTAAAAATCCGCCCCGAAGGAGAAGGAACCCTCATTTGTTTTACACAGGGAGGGCGAAATTTTTTTTAAAATCTGCTTTGTTTTTTGAAATTTTAAAAGGGGGCGCATTACGACATAAAAGTCCTTTTCGTCGCGTGTACAAAGGGTCGTTTGTCGTTTTTGTAAATTCCTTTACACGATTTTATCTTGTTTTTATATAGACAGAGCTGACACTCTCGTAATGGTTTAGATACAGATTAATTTCATCCAAATTAAACGATCAATAAATTTTAATAAGCAAATGACCTACAATAAAAAAATCAAATTTGAGTATAAACATAGTATAAATGTATAAGACATCAAATCTGTTACCAAATCCAACCAAAATAAAACACACAAACAAAAAACACATGTGTGACCCCGCTTTACTATATTAAAGGTGGTTATTAAAGTATCTGAAGGCGCACAACACTATTAAATTCTGTACAATCAAATTTCTTCAAAACACACTTTTTAAGTTTTAAAAGTACAAAACCTAGTTTTCAACTATTCATAGAGAAAAACATTTTCTCGAGCCTTCCGTTAAAACATCATTCGTTGATTCCGTTTCCGATTCGTTTTATCCCATAAGTTTGGAGAGTTTATTTACATCAATATCAGGCATAAAGCCCTAACAAAAACTAAATTTCTGGATGATTACCGCGTGACACGGCCGTTTTTTGGACCGATGATTAGTTCTTAGTGAAAAAAACACCATTTTCTCAAGCCAGTTCTTAGTGTATAAAATTTAGAAAAAAACTCCATTTTCTCAAGCCAACCATTAAAACACCAATTGTCTGATTCTGTTTCGGATTTGTTTTTCTATACAATTAGTGGGTCATCTTTAAAGATATATAAACCCCAAAGCCCTAGAAAAAACACCATTTTTTTCGAGCCAACCGTTAAAACAACATTTGTCTGATTCTGTTGCGGATTCCTTTTTCCAAAAATATGGAAGGTTAACTTTCAGGATAAAAGAAACACCATTTTCACAAGCCAACCGTTAAAACATCATTTGTCTGATTCTGTTGCAGATTCATCTTTCCATAAATTCAGAGGGACATCTCTAAAAATATAACAACAGCGATCAGTGATCACCTGTGTCGCCTCATGATGGCCAATTTCATGTTGGGATAAGTTTTGTGACAGACGGACAGACAGTCGGATAGTGCACAACTGGACTTTGTACTGATTATTCCTGTAAAGTTTGGATAAAATTGCACCTGTATTTTATGAGGAGTAGTCCGGATAAGCTTTTGTGTATCTTGCAACACTTAGAAAAAAACACCTTATTATCAAAGGGCCATAACTCGGCCAAAAATCATTCAACCTGAAAACCCGTGCAATATGCGCAAGGACTAGAGCTACAGATTAATCCTGTAAAGTTTCATTGAAATTGCATCAGTGGTATAAGAGAAGTAGTCCAGACAAATTTTAAAAATAAAAATTAATAAAGGGCCATATTAAAGGGCCATTACTCTGACAAAAATCATTGTACCAAAAAATACTAATAATATGCACAACTAGACTTGGTACTGATAATTCCTGTAAAGTTTGGATGAAATTGCACAATTAGTTATGGAGTAGTCCGAACAAGTTTTGTGACGGACGTACAGACTGACAGACAGACGGACAGACAGACGACAGAGAAGTGATCCCTATATTTCGCCACTACTCCGTAGAGGCGACAAAAAAATCGCAAAGCCATACGACAAACAATGCAAAATGTTGTACAGTGTTTTTCACGTGTCATGGTCGTTTTTGGACCGGCGATATGCTCATTTTTATATAGTAAAAGTCTTACTTAACGTACAAAAACATGATTTTCTTGTGACAGCCGTTCAAACACCATTTTCTCTCATTCCGTTGCGGATTTGCCGTCGCGTTAGTTTTAATAGAGTTCGTTTTTACAGCGAATCATGACCTTAAGCTCATATCAAAGGGATTGGCCTGAAGACGCCTGCATGACATTGTCGTCTATGGATCGGAGATATGTTCCTTCTATATACTCACAAATCGATTTAATCTTTGCAATAACACAACACTTCTGAAACTATCATTTCAGACCTGCAGGAAACAATGGTTTTTACAAGTTCTTGAAAACGTGAATATGATGTTGCATTACAGCACGTTATTAAAGGACAGTTACTTATGCCATGTACGGTGAGTCATGTTGAAATTAACGCTACGTACTTATGTAGTGGTCGAGTAGATTGTATTACATGCGATCTTAAATCTTTACAACAATATAAGGTTCAAATATCTAACTCCAGGAAAAACGACGGCGGGGTATTCTATTAGTCGGTATCTGCATTGGTGATGTGTTCTTTAAGTATATATATATATAGTATGTATTTTTCCGGAAAATATGTACCATTATCTAGGGCCAATTGTAAAAACACCATTTGTGTGATTCCGTTGCGGGTTAGCAACTGCATAAGCTTTAAAGCAATATAGGGCACAAAGTTTTAAACCTAAAAAAATGGCTTGTTTTCTTTATTGTTTATTGTCGATTTGTTATTTCCGTATACAACCTGTATAAATTTAATTTAAAAAATCACATTCTTCTTTCGACCGTTAAAACACTGTTTGTCTGATTCCGTTGCAGATTTGCAATTCCACATGCTTAGAGGTTCGTCTTTACAGTAAGCTCTAGCCCAAGGAATATATGCCCTCATGTATGGTCGATTTTTAAGATCGGTGAATTTTTTTGTATTTATTTAAAGTGTAAAATGTTTCTGCAAAATCACCATTTTCTTGTGCCTACTGTTCAAACACCATTTTTCTGATTCCATTTCATATTTACAATTCTATTACTTTGAAAGTTCCCCTTTACAACAATATAAGGCGTTATTTGATCTTTTTTTATAAAAAGTATTACAATTTTTTAATTTTTGTATAAACCACGATCTTCTGGAGCAAACCATTGATCGTTTCTTCTATTTAGCATTATATGGCCCAAGGGAACTGACAATAAGGGTCACACATGTCACTGTCTTTTTGACGATCCACAATTCGTTGACATTTATCTATCTATTTAAACTTGGTAGGTCACAATAGCTTGCTTATCATAACATTATCGTGCAAACTTTGAAGCACAAAAAGGCGTCCGTGGCCGAGTGGTAAAGGTTCGCAAACTTTGAAGCACAAAAAGGCGTCCTAGGCCGAGTGGTTAAGGTCGTTGGCTTCAAACCACTTAACCCCATCGCTGTGGGTTCGAATCCGACAGGGACTTTAGATTCTTTCATGTGAGGAAGCTATCCAGCTAGCTTACGGAACGTCGATGGTTCTATTCAGGAATCCGTTCGTGCCTTAAATAACGAACGGAAGGGCACCTAAGGTCTTCCTCCACCAGTAAAGCTTTACGTTGCGATATGACCTATACTGTGTCGATGTCACGTAAAACCCAATTTAAAAAAATTGAGACACAATGCCTCTTTTTCATAGAAAGTTGTATCACAAAGCTTCTTAAATTTTAATCAAAGAAATGAAAGATGGGATAAAATCATCTTGAATACTCTTCTAAGGTAATGAAAACAAAATGAGCAGGTGAAAATAAGATTGGTTTGATCGCGAGTCTGAAATTAGTTTGCAGGAGTCCAATTGGTTTGATAGAGTCAGAAATTTGTTTGATCGAGTCTATGATTATTTAAATTAAAACTGGTTTGACTGAGAATGTAATTTGTTTGATTGATTTTGTTAATATGAGGTTTGAAAGCAGTATCACACTTTGTTGGTATAACATACATGTAACTAGCAAACAGTTCAAGCTCTTTATTTGGTTCTGGAGTTCAATAAAACAACACTTCATTATAGTTTCAAAATCTTTGATTATCAGAGCAGGCACATTATGAGCAAATATATACTTTACAAGCATGTGTTAGTAATACTGATTAATCTGCTATGCACATGACTCATACCAAAAGAACATTAAAAGGGACAAAGAACAAAAATCTTTTAATTTCTCTTCTATTTTACATTTTGTCTAAGACTTCAATAGCATTCATTAAATTCAAACATAATAGCAATAAAGCATTTGACACAAGAAAGATTTCATAAAACTATTTTATCAGTAATATTTCACTTTCATGAAAATTAATACATTACTTTTTTTTAAAACTGAAAAACTTAAGTACTGAAAAAAATAATTTTGTTTGTAATGCAATGTGTTTTGATTGTAGAATTAAGAAGAACATTGCATTAAATTGAATATTAACATGTGTTTATAGTCACCTGGTATTATCAAGGTCACAGTGACCATGTTAACAATATTGGTGTTTTTTTTTTGTTTTTTTAATGTTTTTTGTTGTTTATTTTTAAATTTACACATATTAAGTCTATGTAACATGACTTGCAATTACCAATTAATTGAATACTAATTAATCAATTAGTTAACTTGAGACCACTAATTGTAAAGCATGTTCTGCAAACATCTCCGGTACTCATACAAAATTTAATGAGTACAAAATTTAATGAAACTAATCTGTCTCTAAATCAATAAGATTTCACAT